ATTGAGGTGTGTATAAAAGCAACCACTACTGATCCCGTGTTGCCACCATCCATTATTGCCCCATTTACCAATGCAGTTATCGAAATCGTTATCGTAAGTAGCAAACCTGTGGCCATTGTAAGCTGCCAGATCATTCCCAGCAGTTCCTGAGTGACCTCCCACTGTTAGTGTATAGTGACTGGTTTCATTCCCAATGTTAAATTCCGAATATTTTGCATATCCCACGCTGCCATCAAAACCTCCAAAATCCACTCGTAAAGTATTTGTCTCTCCGTGAGTGAGGCGGTGTATTTTGCTCAGTCCTAGCCAGAATTCCCCGGTGAGATTACCAAAACCTTTCTCGTAGTCAGCCCAGTTCCTATTGAAAGCAACAGATCCATCTTGTCTCCTCTGAAATACTGTCCACCCACCACCATCAGTCTCCATATCACAGTATACCTATACAGAAATAAATTAATGCAAGTTTGTATAGGAGCCATTACTTGAAAAGCTTCTCCTCCATTTGGTTTTACTGGATAGACTCCACTCTGATTGATCCCCAACTCTTGCCATGCTCTGCAGTCTGGTGGCATCACACAAACTATAAAATAAGAATTTTAAAGGAGTCATAGTTATTCCATTATTTTACCTGGTGGAGCATTGACTGTTGTGTTTGGAGAGGAAAGGAATTCAGTAGTGACAACCAGTGGAGTTGGAGACAGAGTAGAGGAAGGTAATGGAGTAGTGGAAGGAGATGGCGATGGCGTATCATCAGGACAGTTTCCAGCTGCAATGTTAATCATAGCAATAGCTGCTATTACAACACATAGCCATTGAGAGGTAACCATGATTGATAATAATAATAATAGTGCTTTGTCTTCTGCTGATGTGAAAGAGATGAGATTGCTCTTCTTTTATAACGATCGACAGACTGGCGATACCTTTTGAAGATGAGTGAGTGGGTCATGTACTTATATGTGATGAGTGAGTGGGTCATGTACTTATACGTGGAGCATGTGTTTACTTAGTAAAAGTAAATTTATCTTTTGGTCCATATCTTTTTGTTTTTGGACTCTTCCTAAGTATTACAACTACAGTGTATATTTAGGACACTTTCTTTTTAGTCCAAACATGTGAAAGACTTACGATTGAGTGGAGGAGCTGCACCAATGCAGCTATGCGTCAACAAGGTGATAGCATTCTTGCATTAAAATACTAATAGAAGGTTTACCTGTTGCACCATACTGTCCATACATGTAGATGTATGCAATGTGTACAGGACTCTTGGTATTATGCATATGCATTACCGGTTATTAAAAATAATTAGTTAATAAACTAATTAATTGAGAAAGAAAGAACATGGCCGCTGCAAATGACCGTCTTGGGAGCTCATTTGTGAAGATTTTAAAAGATACACATAGCTCTTATGGAGGATATGATTATACTTTTGTTGATGGTGACCCACCAGACAACTACATCTGTCTCATATGTACTTTAGTGTCACGTGATCCTCATCAAGTCTCCTGCTGCTTTAATATCTACTGTAAGAGTTGTCTGGATAAGCACAGGAAGAAAAACTCAATGAATGGAACATTCAGCTGTCCTGCTTGTCGTAAGCTACTGGATTCTAAGAGCTATTTTAAAGATGGAAGGTTGGAGCGTGAGATAAAGGCTCTTAAAGTTCAATGCACCATTGAGGAGTGTGACTGGAAAGGAGCTATTAGTGATATCAAAGCACATGTCATGGCCTGTCCTTATCGAATGGTCGACTGCTCTCTGGGATGTGGGGAAAAGATTTGCTATAAGGAAGTGGAAGCTCACCTCAGTGATTGTCCAAAACGGATAGTCAGTTGTCAGTATTGTAAAGATGAAGGTCCTCATGACTTTATAACAAGCAGTGCTCATCTTGATGAGTGTTCTTCCTACCCAGTCAAATGCTCTAATGAAGGTTGTGAATTTACTCAAGAACGCTTTTGGTTCACACATCATGAGCAAAATTGTCCTAAAGCTATTGTTTACTGTGAATACAGTAATTTAGGATGTGACAAGTTGATAAAAAGGGAAGAGCAAGAAAAGCATAATGAAGAATCCATGAAAGAGCACTTGCAAATGGCAATCAAACGAGTTGATACTCTGCAGACGAAATGTGCTGGTATGAAATGTGCTGGTTGTTCAAGTTCTCAGGTCTTGAAAATGAACAATTCATCCTCCTATAAATATGGTAATCAGGTATGGTATAGTCCATCATTTTATACCTCACCAGGTGGCTATAAGATGATGCTCTGTGTATATGCTAATGGTCATGGCAAAGGAAAAGGCACTCATGTGTCTTGTTATACTGCTCTTGTTCCTGGGGAGTATGATGATGAGCTGGGGTGGCCATTTGAAGGAGAAGTCACAGTAGAGCTACTAAACCAAGAGGAAGATGAAAATCACAAGAAGCTTATTATCAAGTATGATGACTCAACTCCTGAGGATTGCAAGGAAAGGGTGACAAAAACAATGTCACAAAGGTGGGGGAAAGCTCAGTTCATTGCTCATTCTGATCCTGGTTTTCAAGACTTTACGTATGGTTTTCTGGGTCCGTGGTATTTCAGAGTCAGTGCAAGAGTCACCTCTAAGACTAAACCATGGCTTGTATAGTGTTATAAAAGCATGTCTATGTAAAGAGTACATATGTTTTTCAGTTTATTAACTATTAACAATTTTAATAATTACAACATGGCTGCTCTTGTAGAAGATTCCTATGGTGGATATGATTATACTTTTGTCAATGGTGATCTACCTAGTAAGTATACATCTGCCATATTTGTACTCTAGTATCCTGTGATCCTCATCAAGTCTCCTGCTGCTACAACATATTCTGTAAGACTTGTCTGGAGACACAAATCAATCAAGGGATTTACATTAACTGTCCTATGTGTCGTGAGCCACTGGGTACCAATAGCTACTTTAAAGATGGGAGATTGGAGTGAGAAATAAAATCTCTCAAAATATATTGTACCCGTTATGACAAGGAAGGCTGCCAGTGGGAAGGAAGCATCAGTGATTTTATTTGAGAGCACGTCCATACTTGTTCTTACCAGTTGATTGTGTGCACTTGTGGCTGTGGAGCTAAAATGC